ATGGGTATTGTATTTTGTCAATTTTTTTCTTCATTTATTGAGATAATCATATGATTTCTGTTAGTTTCATTGTTGACATGGTCAATTATGCTGATAGTTTTCCTAATATTGAACCAGTCCTATATTCCTGGTATAAATCCCACCTTGTCATAATGTATTATCCTCATGATAACTTGCTGTAATGCCTTTGCTAATATTTTATTTAAATTTTTTGCATCAATATTCATTAGGAAATCAGTCTATAATTTTCTTTCTTTGTTTTGGCTCTTCCTGGTTTAGGTATCAGCACTATATTTGTATCATAAAAAGAATTTGATAGGACTCCTTCACCTACTTTTTCAAATAGATTGCAACTCACATAATTTCTCCTCTAAGAATCTGGATGCTATACAACTTGGTGTATATATGTTTTGTATTGATGTTACTTCATTGTCTATGGTATTCCTTATCTCTTTTAATTAGATCTGTTTTTCTTTTTGATTTGTCAGAGATCAGGATTGCTACCTCTGCTTTTTTTTTTAACTTCAGTTAAAACATAACATATTTAGCTCCAACCTTTTACCTTTACTCTGTATGTATCTTACTGCTTCAAATATGTTTCTTGTAAACAACATATTGTAGAATTCTGGTTTTAAACTGCTCTGCTATTTACTTCTGTTTTATGGGAAAGTTCATCCCATTTACACTCACAGTTATGATTACTAATATGTATTTCTCTCTATCCCATTTCCCCCCGTTTATACTTTTTCCTCTCCTTTCACCCTGTTCCTCCTCAACAGTGTTTTGCTTCTGACTACCACTTCCCTCAATCTGTTCTTCCTTGTATCAGGTCCCCTTCCTTTTCTTTCTCCTCTCCTCTCCTTTCTATCAGTTTTCCCCTCCCTTTTCTTTCCTTTCCTACTTCACTATTGGGTATGATAAATTTCTATACCCAACTGAGTGTGTATGTTATTCCCTCTTTGAGCCAAATAAAATAAGAGTGAAGTTTAAACAATGCTCACCCCTCCCATCTTTCCCTCTACTATAATAGGTCTTTTCATGCCTCTTCATGCAATGTAATTTACCCTATTCTGCCTCCACAAGCAGTGAATTTTTTATATCATCACATCAAAGTCAACTTATACCCACACCCTCTGTCTGTGTATACTCCTTCTAACTGCCCTAATAGGGATATAGTTCTCAAGAGTTACAAGTATAATCTTCCCATGTAGATATGTAAGCAGTTTAGCCTTATTGTATAACATGGTTTTTGTCTGTCCTATTTGCATTTTTATGCTTCCTTTGAATCCTGTATTTAGAATACTGAATTTTCTGTTCAGCTCTGGCCTTTTCATTAGGAGAGTTTGATAGTCCCTTATTTCATTGAATGTCTATCTTTTCCCCTGAAAGATGATGCTCAGTTTTGTGGGGTAGTTGATCACTGGTTGTAATCCAAGCTCTTTTGCTTTCTAGAATATCATATTCCAAGCCCTCTGATCCTTTAAGGCAGAAGCTGGTAAATCCTGTCTAATCCTGACTATGGGTCCTTGATATCTGAATTGTTTCTTTCTGGCTGCTTGTGGTATTTTCTCCTTGACCTGATAATTCTGGAATTTGGCTACAATATTCCTTGAACTTTTCATTTTGGGATTTCTTTCAGGAGATAATTAATGGATTCTTTCAATGACTATTTTACCTTCTGGTTCTAGGACATCAGGGCAGTTTTCCTTGATAATTTCTTGAAAGCTACTGTCCATTCTCTTTTTTTATTATGATTTTTAGGTAATCCAATAATTCCTAAATTGTCTCTCCTGGATCTATTTTCCAGGTCAGTTTTTTTTTCAGTGAGGCATTTTACTTTCTTCTCTTTTTTTATTCTTTTGATTTTTTGACTGATTCTTGATGTCTCATAGAGTCATTAGCTTCCACTTGCCAAATTCTAATTTTGAAGGTATTATTTTCTCTAGTTAACTTTTGTACCTCCTTTTCCATTTTGCCAGTTTTACTTTTTTTTTTTTTGGTTGGGCAATGGGGGTTAAGTGACTTGCCCAGGGTCACACAGCTAGTGAGTGTTATGCGTCTGAGGCCGGATTTGAACTCAGTTCCTCCTGAATCCAGGGCTGGTGCTCTATCCACTGCATCACTTAGCCATTCCCTCCAATTTTACTTTTTAAGGAGCTGTTTTCTCTAGGGGATTTTTTTTTCCATTTGACCAATTGTATTTTTTTAAGGAATTAATTTTCTTTAGTCAATTTTTGTCCTTCCTTTTCCAAACTGTGGACACTCTCTTGCATACCATACCTCTCAATTCTTTTCCCAGTTTTTTCTTCTACCTCTCTTATTTGACTTTGAAAATTCTTCTTGAACTCTTCCAAAAAGTCTTTTTGGGCTTAAGATCAATTCATCTTCCCCTCTGAGTCTTTGCATGTAGGCATTTTGACATTGTTGCCTCTTCTCAGTTTGTGTTTTGATCTTCCCTGTCACCATAGTAACTTTCTATGGTCAGGGCTCTTTTTCTGTTTTTTACCCATTTAGCCTATTTTTGTGACTTTTAAAGCTGAGATCTGCTCCCGAGGCAAGCTTTTTGTCCCAAGCTTCTTGAGCTGTGGGCCAGAGGCCTGGTCACTGGCTTTCTCCTCTGGGGCCTCAGGTGCTGGCGACTTTATCTACAATGCTCTCAGCCTGGCCTTACGGTGCCTGTTGTGCCAGGGGTTTCTGGGCTGGGAGTTTTCATTTTGTGCTGGGGCTAGAGGCCTAAAGGTTTAAGATCAAAAAGTTTTGACACATGGGGTCAACTACTTTAAAAGCAACCATTAACATGCCTTCAAGAAAGGAATTATGACAGATTATATGAGGGGAGCAATTTGGGGGTCAAAGAAGCCTTTTGCAAAGTTTTGCTTGTTGCAGGTCTGACTGACATCAAGACCAGTGAAAGTATGAGTCAATACTATATACTAAATTCATGGTGGAAGGCAAGAAAAGAAATACATAGAGACAAGACTTATGAGTATATAAGGAAATGGTCACAAAAAGTTTCAAAAACCAAAGTCCCAAATCAAAAATCTTGAATGCATCCTTCAGGAGAATCTGAGTTAGTCACAGGATCAATTCTAATTTATCACATAAATATAATAGGAATTTGAGACACATAGGACCAAACTAAAATGCATTTCTGGATTACCCTCCCCCCACCCCCAGCTATGGGGGTGGAAATATTTTCTTCGCTTAAAATGCGTAAGCTATGTATTTTAAAATTAGTGGAAGTTATAGTCAAGAAGGACAAAATGTGTACTTGATTTTGACAAGGAGAACATTACATGAAGAATAAAAAATGGAAGTTTTCTCTTTTTGTTTACTTGAGTTTTGAATAGTCATGGCTTAGACTATATTAGGAAGGATAAATTCTATGTTAAGCAAATCACACTCAGAATTTGTCTTTTTCAGTGCTATACTGGAGGTAAGAGAATGGATAGGGGTTTAAGAGAAACTGCCACTTGACTAGGCTCCTTAAAGTAAGTAATTTATTTAATATATTCATAACACCTTATTTCCAAGATAATGCTCTTTTGGCTCTCAATTGGGTATGCTTCAGGTGAAATTTTGCATTTACAATTTCTCCAAATGTTGCTTATTGATTAACTTGCAACTTTATTTCTGTACTCAGAGACCATTATCTCTCTATCAGGAGGTGGGCAAAGATGAGTCCTCTGGAACGGTTAACCAATGAAGTTGTTAGGAGCAATTATATTACTAAGGTATTCTTATTAGACGTGGCTTTAGAGCAAACTAGTTAAAGCAATTCTAATCATGAAACTTATCATGCATATCTCCTGATACTTAGTGTCTATAATAATAACACTTTACATTTTTAAAATATGCTTCCACACAGATCATCTCATTTGACCCTCTCAGGACTCCTGTTTAGTAGGTATTATCAACGTTTATATTTTGCATATGTGAACTAATGTTCAGGAAGAATGAGCCCAAAGTTACGTTGCCAGCAAATGGCAGAGCTGGAATCACTATACCTTTCTGACTTTAGGTCAACATGGATGGTTTAACCTTTTATGTATCAGGCCTGAGTCCCCTTCTAGATTGCGTGACATTTGAAGGCAAGGTCCATATCTTATTTTTCAAATATATCTTATCAAATATATCTTATTTATCAAGCACATCTTATCAAATATATCTATTTGCATATAGAGGATCATAAAATAGTTTTTTAATAAACATTTATTCTTGATAGTTACCATACAGAATGTGTACCAATTAGTTTTGAACACTTAAACTGCCCTAACATCTTGGGGGTTTTTTTCCTTCTTAGTCTGAGATATCTTGGGGAAAACACCCCAAAGTAAAATCTACCATGTTAAAAAAGACCAGATAATAAAATGACAATAGATTTTGGGATGCTATATGAACAATTTTCAATTATCCATAAATGTAGAAGGGAGCTTTCATGAGAATAACTAAAATAAGCAGGATAGTCAAAATAATATATTTAAGAGTTGGCTTAGTAGTATGATTATAAGATAAAGAGGGTATGTATGTCCTTGTCTATTTTCTGGAGTACAAAGATGGAAGAAAGAATCTTTGGGACTAGCTCTGAAAAAGTGAAATGAACCAAGCATATATAGTAATAAATAGAGAACCTATGCTCAGTTCAATGGCTGAGTAAAAGATGTCTCAAAGCTATAATGCAAAACTGACAGTAATGATGATGATGATAGCAGGTATATAACACTTTAGGATCTGCAAATAACTTTTCCAAATATCTCATTTTATCTACACAATAACCTCAAGAAGGTGTGATTATTATCATCATTTTATAAATGAGTAAACTGAGGCAGAGAGAAGTCAAACATCTTAGCCAGGGCCACAAAGCTAGGATTTAAACTCAGGTCTTCCTGACTCTAGGTCCAGCAGTGTGCTGCTTTCTAATAATAAAAAGTTCACTATGCTCTTATTAGAAAACATAGCACCAATTTTTCTGAATCTTTTTAATAAAGACAGTTTCTTACTCTGTGGAAATCTTGGCTATGGTATCACATGAACTGTATTCCACGCCTGTAAAGATGTCCTTGCACTGTCCTGTTCGGATACCATTGAGCCAGTCACCTGTTGTGCGGAAGGTAGTGATGTCAACACTGCTTTGGTCCAAGAGAAGGTTTGATGGTCTGGAAGAAAAGAAACTCATAAAGTCTAGGGATAAAGAGTCAGCAAAGGCTCACATTGTGTCTAAAAATTGACATTAGCATCAGCAGGGTTTCTAGGCTCCATGTGGCTTCACTGCTCATTTGTGGAATTTATCTGCCACTTAGGCCTCATCTGTTCAAGCTGGCAGAATACTGTGTAATCATCTTGTCTAAGTAGTCTGACTAGTCAGCTCACGCCTGCATTTTAAATCATTGAACCTTTGCCAAAGCAGGATATATATGCTTACATTATAATTTAATTTGTTTAACCATTAGCAAATATGATGCTAATTTAGAGTATATTTATGTGAGTAGACAAGAAGGCCCAAATACTGGTCTGGTTGCTTAGGAGATATGTCCTCTTTCCGTTTCAACATTCTGCCCGCTAAATGTTCATCTGCAGATATTATTCACTTTGCTTTCTGAAGGGTTGTTTGAACATTCCAGACTGCACTTAACAGAGAATGTAAAGTCAGCATAGACTGGTTGGTGTTGCTACAAATAATGTCACAAATTCCATTAAGGAATCATACCACAAAAGGAATCAAAACTTAAATGTAAATAGTGTGAAGTGAAAAACTTGTATCCTGGAGCACATAATCTAAAGGCACCTTTTCAAGATGCTTAGAGGAGAATATTTCGAAAGAATGAAAAATACATATTCTTACATAAAAGAAAAATCTTTTTAGCTTTTAAGCAAAAAAAAAAAATTAAAAACAAAACTAGTAACTCATTTGTCTCCTTTCTCATCTCTGTAAAATCCTTGTGAGGATGGCCTATACATAAATTGACAAAGTGCAATTTGATGAAAGCATGAAAAGGCAACAATCAGGTTTTCATGGTGGGTTTTCTATGGTCAGGCCACATCCTCACTGTGATGTGATTATAAGTTTCCACTGGTGCCTATTTTTTGTTTATTTAAAAAAACAAAACATTTGGCTTCATAGAATGAAATGATCTCAAAATGTAATAAAAACAATAACAATCATAATATCTTTAAACCATTTCAGGGTTTGATGTTACCTACAAAGATGTTACATATATTATCTCTTTTGATCCTTACAATGACTCTCTAAAGTAGGTACTATTATATCTCCATTTTGCAAATGAGAAAACTGAGGTAGAGGGAGATTAAGTGATTTGCCCAAGGCCTTCACAGGATCGGAGCTCTAGAGCTTAAAAGGACCTTGGATTCCATCTCGTCCAACTTCCTTATTTTACCAATGGAGAAACTGAGCCCGAAAGAGACTAAATAACTTGCCCAAAGTAACACAGCAGATAAGATTCTGAGGTCGGTTTCAAACTCTGCTCTTCATGGCCCTAAGTCTAACATTGTTCATACATTATCCTCAACCACATAACTTTGTTTGTTTGTTTATTTTTAGCAGCTCACCTTTTCTTTGTCTTTTTTTTTTTAATTGAACTTTTCCTTTTTACTGGCCACGTGAGTAACTGGGGGAGGGGAGCTGGCTGTGGGGAAGGGGGTCTCCACAACATTCCATTTATACACAAAACTAAATAACAAACACAAAGACACTATTGTGGTTAGGAGTTGGCAGCACCGGGGAAGGGGGGGGAACTGGGGGTGTCAGTTAAAACAAATACTGGCCTCCCTGCCATCAGGGCGTTGGTTCGGGGCCTTGGTCTGCTACAACTGAAGCGGAATGAATATCAAAGGCTTGGGAAGGCCGGAGTCATGGGGGAAGTGGGGGAGGTCAGGGGTCGGAGCAGTCTGGCAAATGGGGGAAGGGGTTGCCCTGCCCCTGCTAGGCTGCCCCCAGCCCTCGGGTCTGTTAGGAGGGGGCGGCCTGCTCCCCCACAGCTCTCGGGCAGCCCCAGCAGGGGGCCGGAGGGGGGAGCCCAACGAGGGCTCCCCGAGATCACGGCAGGCCCCCCAGTTTCCCAGCCAGGGTGCACTGGCCCTTCACTTCCTCGTAACCGTTGGCTCGTAATTCGTGTTCGATTCCCCTCAGCTTCTTCCTGACGGCGGCTTGGGAGCACGCTTGGATCATTGTGCTCTGGAGGGGGGCACTCGGGGTGCAGAGGCTGAGCACTAGAGCCTCCTCCTTGCTCCCCGGCCTCGCAGGGGGCGTCAGCCCCCCCCCCCCCCCCCCCCGCCCCAGGATCTCCTCGCGCTCTCCCAGGGCAGTGTGGCCTCGGCAGAACAGCACGGCCTTCTTGAACTTCTTCACCTCAGTGAGGGAGGTGAGGGAGGTGAGGGAGGGAGGTGACAGAGGAAAGGAGGGCTCCCGGAGAGAAGGACCCAAGCCTTCTGCCCGGAGCCCACTGATGTTTATTTGCTTTTAAAGAGAATTTTCACCATGGTTTCCCAAAGGGCATGATGGGCAAAAGTGGTATGTTACTATTCTGACTTAAGTATAAGAAATGGCATAAGGGAAGCTGCCCAAGAAATTAAAAAAAAAATCAAAAAATGAAGGCCTTATTTGTAGTGTAAGAGATGTCAGAGAGCCCAAATAAGCGATGTATTGATACCCATAAAATAATGAGATCTCCTGTGTGTTTGTGGGAGGACATGGAGAGTAATTGCACAAGGTAAGATATATAAATATTTGTTTATCCTGTGATCTGTACTGTTGGAGAGAATATCCCATTTAATGAATTATGGATCTACAAAACCCCAGAAAAGTTGTCATAATGCCAACTCCTTGACTGTCCTCAGGTTTAATAATAAGTCAAATCAAAAGAACAGATAAAAAGAGAACCATCGTAGTCTGCTTATAAGGAAAAGCCTAGCATTTGGGTCTGTTGGACTTTGTGTGCTAAAGAGAATAACATTACAACCCTCTGAGATGCTCCTGATGAGAAATTAAGTCAAAATTCACTTCATAGGAAGCTCTCATTTATCAAGGAATACAACACCATCTATTGCATCTTGGTAATATGCCTCCCCACCCACATACCCCCATCACCAACCAAGTCACATCTCAGGGAATTATGTTGTGAAAATCTAGCTGGTCAACACTAGGCACAGATAGTTGAAGTCAAGCTCAGGGATGTTTTTGCCTATCACTTTCCCACCATAGAAACAGGAATGGGACTAATCAATTTATGAGTCTCTGTTGAACTGAGCCTGACGTAGATGAACTGTCCTGGTCCTACTCAACAGAATGTTTATTTGTACTATTCTATGAGTAAGTGAGGCAATGTTCATAGAACACAGAATGCCAGCCTGGAGTCAACTATTTGACCAGAATTCAAATTCTGTTTCTGACACATACTAGCTGTGCGATGAAGTGACTCATCACTTAACCTACCAATGTCCCAGAAAATTCTGAAACAATATAAATCATAGATAAGTTGCTAATCTGAATGAGGGAAGTGAGTTTCCATAGCAGGAACTTTCTTCACATGGAAGAAATCACAGGCCTAGATCAAAACCAAACCAAAACAAACCAAAACAAAAAAACAGACAGTACAATCAATCATCCAGGTGTCTTGAAAACTGAATCTCAGTGAAATACAATGAGAAATTACTGATAGTCTGTCCCAAATATGTCTATTCTTCATCCACATGACTGAACGATTTTGCCAATGTGTTCCCTCTAAATTAAGAAATGGAACTAGAGTGGAGCTTGGGGTTCTTTGCCCATGGTGGCTTTATAGCTAAGATTCCCTACTACTTTACTATTGCTATCATCACTATTATGGTCATTTTTATAGTGATTTATTGTCTACAAAGTACTGTAACTGCATTATCTTATTTGATCATTACAACAACCCTGTGTGATATGTAGCACAAAGTAGCTTTGATTTATTTTCTCTAGACTGGTGATTTCATTGGTGTTGGGACTCATTGGTAAGGAAATTCCCTCTTCTAATGTAGATCAGCAATTGTTTTGCAGCTTAGGGTCTTAGAGAGTTGTTTGGGACACTGAGAAGTTAAGTAGTTTGTCCACAGTTGCTCAACCCTTTTTGGTAGAGGGAGTATTTAAACTGAGGTTCTCCTTACTTGGAGACAAGCTCCATAGACTGATTTCCTCTTTTTCCAGTATTTTTATTCTCATTTTACAGGTAAGGAGTAAAGTGAAGAGAAGTGAAGCTACTTGTCCATGCTCAAATAGCTTGTAAGTAGCAAAACCAATATTCAGGCCCAGATCTTCTGCTTATAAATCAAAGGCTCTTTCCAGGTCTCTGGGGGAAGTATGAAAAAAAAGATCTAGGCTCAATGATGACAACAACACATTACTATTCTATCTCCATTCCCATACTGCTAGGCTGTCTTGCTTGCATGTAAATATTAACAAAAGAAAGACTATCACTTCACCTTGCATTATCACTATCCACTTCTTCGTAGTAGTATTCTTTCCTCGTTTTATGTCACCTTTATTCCTGTCTAGCTGCAGTACACCTTTGTTCACTTTCCTCTTCTCTGTATTCTGTGATAATTAATAGCCCAGGTCACTACTGTATTTCTGTTTTGACTAGAAAAAAGCCAAGATTAACTGCTATATTGTGTAGCCAATATAACAGTTGAGTTTCAGTATTCTCTATTTTATTAAATGATTTGAGACCAAGAGAGGAAAGTAAACCATGCAACAGCTAGATAATAGGGTGTTCTAGTTAATTAGATAAGCCAGTTAATGAAAAAATAAATCATATATATATCACACAAAACTCCAATTTTTAGACTTAGAAAGCACTAAAATGTTTAACACTTGCCCACAAACATGTAAACATGCACACACAACCAATTATCAAAATCCTGTTACTCTGCTTCTATAACATCTCCCACATGTTTCCTTCTCTTTATTCATACTGCCACAACTACCTAAATTACTGTAATAGTCGCCTACCTAGACTCCCTATCTCCAATCTCTTCTTTACTGAATCTATCCTTCACACTGCTACCAAAATCATCTTCCTAACAACTGAGTCTGAACAAATCACTTCCCTGTTCAAAAATATTCATTAGTTCCCTCTTGTCTAGGACAAAGGAGCTTGGCAAAGCTTCCCAGTGCCAG